TCATCATCATCATCATCATCATCATCATCATCATCATCATCATCATCGTCATCATCATCATCATCATTATTATTATTATTATTATTATTATTATTTTGCAAATGTATAACATTATTGAAAGCGAATGATTCGTGTATATTTTAAAATACTAGGACGCTTTCATTCCCTTGATTCGCTTTGAATGACAGTACAAGTGGATAAATGATGACAATCTGCAGCCGCTGGTAAATAAGGAAGCGTGAACGTCGGTCGACAGGGAATATTTCTATTGCCGTAGGTATATTTTGTCGATACAACTTCAATGAGATCAAATTACAATGCTATTGTATAATATATGGACATGTGATGTGATGATATTTTAGAAACTGAAAAAAATATTATATAAACCGTATAAATTACTGGTGAGTTAATGGTGACATTCTATGTGTCGACGACATTTATCGATGTTTTTGTTTACGCGTACATTAAAGTATCGCACAAAATAACCGACAAGTTGACGGGATGAATACTATAGCTCCCAGTTGTCTGAGACATGTCGAATCAATCTATGATTATACCTATAGAATTATCGTGGGCAATATTTTGCAATAATTACAAATATTGCAATAATTTAAATATTGCTAATGAAGCATAGATGATGCTCTTGTAGCAATAATATTTCTTGTTTTATTTGTTTATTTAAATATTATGTATCATTACCCGGTAAACAATTTTTTATCTAAAATTATATATAAATCATCAATTATAGAAGCGGAGATGAGAAAAGATAGGCGAGAGCAGTAGTCATAAATAATGGCGAGCTTTAGCGTGAGGAATGATCCCGTCAAAATTGTTGTGATTGACGGGCAATGTGCGGATAGATGTGTGTTAAAAAACTTATTGTAAACCAAGTCCACTTCTTGGCAGCAGCCGAAGTTAAATAAATATTATTATTATTATTATTATTATTATTATAAATCGTCAATTGATGATACTATATCAGTATACGTTACATAATTATATTAATCAATTAAAATACAACACAATAAAATTATATTGCAGTAGTGTAATGTTTTCTTTTATTTATTTTTTACCTTTATTTAATCTTATAAATTTATAATGTCTATAAAAATTGTCTAAAAATGTATCTAGTCTCCTCTGATCTTATTAAATGTGTGTGTGTGTGTGTGTGTGTGTGTGTGTGTGTGTGTGTGTGTGTATGTACACACACACTCGAATATTTAAATGAAATAGATTGCACAATAATATTGCGCTTTGTTCATATTATGTTTTTTTTTATATCAAAATATGATGATATAAAAAGTAAACTCATATACTATAATTCATAACACAACGCACTAACTCATAAAAAAACTGAATTTATGTATAAAAATTTTCAATTTATACGATCGGTTCAATTTTCTGATATCATAATTTATGTAGAAACACCAGTAAAATTAAAAATATTAAAATGTAAATAATAAAATTTAAAAAACATTCTTTAAATCTTAATATCTTTTTCCTGCAGTATATTAATGCTCCTTAATTTATTGGTTAACATTTTTCAATCAATCTTTATATAACAAAACATTTCTAAATAATTATACATTGTACCTAAATATTTTTGAATTTTATATCAATATGTTACACGATTAAAAGAATTAATTGTTCCAATATTTACTTTAAACTGGAAGATTACGGGTATAACTATGATGGCTTACTTTCCAAGGAAATATACATATTACAAGCAACGAATAGAGTGTGTATTAATAATTAAATTAGTAGGAATACAGAATCTATAACTTTATACTTTCTAAACTGTTTGACCACGTTTTGTGAAAATGTTCTATGGCACGTAATACACAACAAGAACCTTAGATAGAATCCAGGAGCGCCTCGCGCGATACTCGCTGTCACTTACTTTCTGAGCTGCTCGCATACACTATGTTGCTGAATAAAATAAGCGTGATCGCTGTGTAGACAGTGCAAGAAAGCCGCATTGCGAGTTGAAGTGCGAACCGTCGTCGAGTTGACACTGACTACGTGAGAATCACGATACGTCGGTATCGTCACAGACAAGAGTGGCAAGAAGGGGCTACCATAGATTTTAAGTAGTTAACAACCTGTTGAATAGACATTTCGTCGCCTACCGCTGATCAATGAAACGCAATGACTTTGACCTCTTTACACCGTCGTAGATACTTCTATATTATTTAATTAGCTCAAACTTTTTCAATTGTATCGATAACTCTGCAATAATTTCTATTCTTACTTCTTTTTATTTCGACGATTTTTCTGTTTTTCCAAAACAAAAGTTATCGCGAAATTCTTATCAGATAGTACTTTTAATCACAAAATCTTCTCAGTCAAATATAAAATAATTTTTTCTTCAGTAGTAATATTATAAAATGTTGTCATTTGTTACATTCCTTCCAATTTTTAATCATACACATTTTTGCAATAAACTGTGAAATTAAAATTTGAATAAAGTTAAATTTAATTTTTTTAACTGCTTAAAAATATAACACGTGTTATCTACTTTCTTTGGTGTAAAGAAAAAGAGAGGGAAAGAAGCTTATGACATATTATAAATTATATTGTATAAGACAGTAATTGCAAATGAAAAGAAAATAATTATAATCAATGATGGGCGCGTTCGGATTCTTAATTCAAAGGTTTTCAAATAATTTAATCATGTAAAGTGTTTTGAATTATTTCCAATATTATTCGTAATTGGAAAGTTTTAGAAGTTTTAAAAAATATATCTTGGAAATATTTCTTTAAATTGTTCCAAAATCTATCAAACACTGAAAATTCATAAAGTAATAAAATTGTTATCTATATTTATGTATGTAATAGAGAAGGTGGATTAAATAATAATATAAAACACAATGAATAAAAAATATTTTTGAAACATTATTGATATAAACAAAATTGAGAAATAACACAATAAATTAATTATTATACATAGTTTGTACCATTACGAGATATTTAATTAGCGCTTAGTTTTCTCGAAAAACTTACAAATAAATGAGAAACAATTCTGGTATTTTGGATATCAGAGCAATTAAGGCACATTACAACATTTTCGTAACAAAAAAAACTAATTTAACTTTGGTAGAAAATCAAAGTACTTACATTAATGTATCTTGATATTACAACCGCTACTACTTATTATTCTTTGTCACAATAAATGCTCCCTATAATTTTTTCCTATACCGCGCAATTGAATTAAGTATTATGCAAATTACTGTTTGCTTGAAACGCCAAAACCGCGGGACGAACACAGAAGAGAACATTTATTTAAAGAAATTTGAATTGAATCTTTAATTCCCGCAAAAAATTATTTATTTTCTTTTGTTCGTTTGTATAAAAATCTGTGTACAGTGTTGAATTAAAAGATAAATTGAAATCACATATTTTAAGCGGAAAATGTGGTTAAAATCGCTATTAACTAACAATTTTAAATATAGAAGTTTACTTGTAAGGAATAAACAGAAATAGAAGATATACATTTCTTTATATGTATTTATTTACATAACATTAAGTATTAAATTGAGGATAATATAAAATTTAATATCTTTTTGTAGCCAAAATATATAAAAATAACCCATACTGCGTAATAATTTTTAGTTCTTGAAGTTATTTAATGATTATAAAAGTAATATGGGCATATCTCGCAAATTAGGATTTAAAAAGGTATAAAATCGTTACATGTGTAATGTGTATACGTATTTTGTTTTATAAAAACTAAATATTATGAGAAGATGATTGAAAGTAGGATATCGCTAAAAAAAACAGTTTCTTTAGGAAAAACAATTTGAGCGAGAAAATAGTGCAATAAGAGACGTCCTACAAAAATAGTATCGGAAATATTATTGAAATAAGTGCTATCAAAGAGAAACTTCTGCTGATGCAAATTGGTAGCATATGTAGTACTCCCGTTACATCCTGCAGTAACAAGTATGAATTACGTGCGTTTATGCAACAGTCTGCGCATGTCGGCAATAGAGAGACGATCTTTACACTAATATTAAACTTGAATACGAGCTTATGCAACGGTGTACGACGGCACCGATCTCCTTTTGCGTAGGCAAGCTCTTTCACCTAAATGATAACTAATACATATATGCATAACTTGTATCTCATATACTTTACTTTACAAGAGAAAACATGAATTCATATGAAACGCTTTTTTTATAACAGATTATAATTCAAAACCCAATGCTCAAAACGATCAAAATTTTCACGATGCAACAAAAACATGTCACACTTTGAACGTTTATATTTTCAAAACTAATAATCGTAGAATAATAAATGACATCTTATTTTAAAGCTTAAGAAGTCCCATTTATGATAAAACAAGACCGAACTTTCTATTTATAACCGATTTTCTTGAAATGGAATTATTACAAGAACCTGACGTCTGTCTGTATGTCTGTCTGACTGTGAACTACTCATTCGTTAATAGACCGAATTTTAAAGTATTGTGTATGAAGTAGGGGTAGAATTTTCCGGGAATGACGCGGTGGTGAGGTTAATTTTTTGATACCGATTTTTTTTAAACCGGTTGTGTAGTTTTATGTTATATTTTCGAAAATAATAATCGTAAAGTAATAAATAAGTTGTCATTTGATAGCTTATATAGTCACATTTTCTCTCTAAAGTCTATAAAGTCTCCAAAAAGAGTTACCGATTTTTTTCTTGCAACGTTTTCCGTGAACTACTCATTTGTTAATAAACCGAATTTTCAAGAATTATGAAACAGAGGTAGAATTTTCTGGAAATGGCGGTGGTGGGTTTAATTTTTTGATACCGATTTTTTTAAACCGGTTGCGTAGTTTTCGATGCCAATGTGTTTCTTATATTCTAAAACGTCGAAATATCGCATTAAAAAAATGCAAAATTGCTAATAATAAAGGGGTTAACGATTTTTGTTATTTTGTTATATTTTCGAAAATAATAATTGTAGAGTAATAAATAAGTTGTCATTTGATAGCTTATATATTCTCATTTTCTCTCTAAAGTCTATAAAGTCTTCAAAAGGGGTTATCAATTTTTTTTTGCAACGTTTCCCGCGAATTACTCATTTGTTAATAAACCGAATTTTCAAGAATTATATATGAAACAGAAGTAGAATTTTTCGGGAATGGCGGTGGTGGGGTTAATTTTTTTATATCGATTTTTTTTAAACCGATTGCGTAGTTTTCGATGCCAATGTGTTTCCTATGTTCTAAAACGTCAAAATATCGCATTAAAAAAAAAATTCAAAATTGCAAATATTAAAGGGGTTACCGATTTCTATTTAAAAAAACAGCCAAACTTACCAAAACTTCTATAACTCAAAAATTAATTAACTAAATTTTAAAGAATTATATATGAAATAGGGGTAGAAAAAAACTGAAGAATATAATGGAATTAATAAAAATTGTTTTATTTACTTTACCATTGTTTAAACCAAAAAACCTTATAACTCGAAAACTAAAAAAATAAACGGGCACAGTAACAACTGTGCTGCAAACAACACGTAGAACTACGTCAACTGTCACTATTTCATGTTAAAGTAATTCAGCGAAGGAAAGTAGACGTAGGGCTACGTTAACTGTCTTTCGCTAAATAACAGTGACAGTTGACGTAGCCCTACGTTTACTTTTCTTCGCTGAATACTTTAACATAAAATAGTGACAGTTGACGTAGTTCTACGTGTTGTTTGCAGCACAGTTGTTATTTTGCAATTATGTTTTATGTTTAATATAAGAGAGCTGTTTTTCTATAAGAATGTTTTTCAAAAAGATCAGATGTGATCAATTTTAAATTAATTTTTTCTTGGCGGAAATATTAAAGAAAGTTATCATTTATCTTTTGTAGAACTTTCTAATTTCTAACATTATGTGTTTCTATAATTAAGCTTATAAAATTGAAATTTTATTACAATAAACTTTATCTGAAATTTGCTGAAAATTGTATGTATTTCTATTATCCGTTGCTTTCTTTTGAAGCTCAGTTTGCAAGAAATCTTCTGTTTTTAATTGCTTATAACTCGAAAATAATTAGTGTCTCGTTATTTTAGGAAAAACGAACTTTAAATTGGATAAAGAATTTGACATTAAAAGGACATCAGTTTCTTCAAAACGTTGTAAATATGACCCTGAGACCTTGATATTTATATTCGACTTAGATGAGAATCAGTAAAGAGAATTTATTAAATATTTATAACATATAATAAGTAATTATTAATTACTTATTATATGTTATAAATATTTAATAAATTCTTTTAATTATTAATTACTTATTGTATGGTACAAATGCTAATACAAAAAATGATATACAATTGTCAAAATAAATATATTATTTAAATATTCATATTTTATAACGCAAACCATGCATCTTATCCTATTTGCAAAATAAATATTGATATTTTTTATAAAAGTATTCTGATAGAACCCATTTGTGTGCCCTGCACTTTTGGCTTTAACAAATTTTTATTTAAGCAAAAATTTTACCTAATAGCCAGCTATTCGCTATATTCTTTGCGCCATACAGTATATCTTACCATATTGCGCGTGCATCGTCATCTTCTTATAATTTTACATGTTTAATATCTTTCAACTAAAAAACAAATTACAGCTTGTTGCTTTACGACAGTAATATAACTCGAGAACAGGACGGCATGTATGTATAACGCTCCGTCCATGTAAGCTATTACTTTAATCGTAGAATAGAAATAGCAGTGATCGATAGACTCCAATCATATTGAATCAATTCAAATATATGATGAGAAAAATTTTAAATTATTTCAAATGTACGAAATAAAAAAGTATTTTTAAAAATCTTGAATATTTTGAAATAAATATATATTTATTTATAATTTTACAGTATACTCTGTATGTTATTATTACAATTCACACTTTGTTTATATACATTAGAGAAAATCATTTTATTTTAAATAAATAACAAGCAAAAAAAGTGAGCTTTGAGTGTATGTACAATGCGGTCAATAGTGCGTAAATTAACATATTATAACAATCTTTAATTATATATCTTATTAATAGAATACATAATTATACACTGTTGGAAAATTTGTGTTAAATATAACATAAATCACATGTCCAAAACGGTTTACTCAAATTTTTGTGTTAATTTAACATAATATAGATGTACGTGTTAAGTGGTAACACTGATATTATGTTAAAATATTTCAACAGAAAGAAAATGTAATTCTGATCGTAATTTGAAGTTAATTATGTGTACAATTAACATAACTTTTATGTTAAAGTTGAGATTGTAAGATAAAACACTCTATTTCTGTAAATTTTTATTCCTACTTCTTTTATAGAGTAAAATCAACATTCTTTTTCTGTAAATTTTAACACATTTAATAAATACGTTCAAATTGTGTTACTTTAACATATTTTTTAAGTTAAATTATATTAATTATTTTACATTTTGAATTTGTAAAATTCAATTAACATAGCAGGCATATGTTAAATCTACACACGTATGTGTTGATTATTTTACACAAAAATTTTAACAAGGACTTTTTTTAACACACAGGATCTTTGTTTTCAACAGTGTATATATGGGACATTTCGGCTTTGGTTTGAGTCACCTCTAGCAATGCGGTAAAATAAAAAGATAAAATAAAATAATTTCACGTTTTCTGACAAGCCATTGATAGGAATACATTTAAATTGTATGGTAAAAATGCAGTGTAACTTTCTACGAGAAAATCCAAGTAAAATTTTCGCTCATCATAATCTGTAATATAATAGAAATAGAAATAATAGTTAGAATCTGACAAACAGAAGGGACTCAGACAGCTTATGAATAAAACACTTCAATATAAATGAAAAATAAAAGATTTAGTTACATTTTGTTTTACATACATTGCAATTATTAAGAGACACAGTAGTAGGTACGCGCAAAACAAGGGCGCTATACTTACGCTGCTCAACTAGTTAATCGCAGGAAAGATTTATCGTTTAACTAACGGCTAAACCGATGCGTTTCTGGGGATCACTCGATCAATTCGTTTCGTTCATATCATATAACAAAACTGTCTTTACTTTTGCTCTATGTGTCTTCTATGTTAAGATATTCCATCCCAAAGTCTAAAATTTTAAATTAAGAAATAGAAAAATTTTCAGCTGACATTTGATTTGTTAGAAGACACCACGAGTTGGATCAGCTCGTCGACATAGCATCGCCGCTGCACGGAGCTCGACTTGAAATTTATCATCCTTGCGAATTATTTGGTAACATTTTACTACTTACAATTAATCTAAACTGTCATGCTTTTTGTCGATTTATTTTCTCTGAGATCGCAGATTTTGGCTTCGCATAATAATGTCTAGTTCTCTGCACTTTCAGTTTTACATTAATACTGAATTAGAATGAAGCAGTCAACGAGAAAAAGTAAATCTTAATATCTCTATTAAGATGTCCAAATATTGAAATATTATATTATTATATATTAATTATAATATAAATATATTAATTATAACATAAATATATTAATTATAATATAAATGTATATAATATTATATATATTGATATATATATTTATATATATATATATATATTTTATATATATTTCTGCCCCAAAAAAGAGAAAATTGGCTATAAAAAATATGAAATATAATATATTGATGAGCAATCATTCAAGTCGAGAGATTATACATTGAGATCTACAGGTAACAGTAGGATATGAGACACCACCGCTTTTCTAATAGATTATCATCAAAGTTTTCTCTCAAATAAAATATTCAACGTTTATTTATGTATTCAAGTTATATTTTTCCAGTAGGTCACAAATTGTTGAAAATCGCTTTCAATTACATACGTTCAAAATAAGATAAAAAGTAAGATTTTAGGATATAAATGTATCTAATATTTCTTAATATTAAAATCAATATCCGACACGCATTAAACATATATTTTGGACACAGTAAAGCTCTCTTTTTTTAATTTGCATCGGTTTACTTGTACCAACTTATAGTCTATACAACTACAGTTATTAAATATCATACAACTACGATTTAATATGTATTCAGTTAAGGCCGGAACACAATACAAAGGTACAGTCAATAGGAACAGGGAATAGGAACAGAATGCATTGATACACGGCTTCCGATAGGTTAAAAATCTATTCCTTTGTATTGTGTTCCTGCCCTTACTCAACAAATATCTTTATTATATAATTTAATATATAATAAGACGATGTGAATAAAAAAAAAATTGATGGAAAATAAAAATGAAGAGCTTCGTTGCATATCCAGCATACATAATCATCTAAAATATATAAATACATATTTAAAAAAAGCATGCAATATATGTAAAAAAGAGATGATACAAAACTTATCTTAAAAAAAATGTAAATTTTGTATGATTATTGTAAACCAAGCAAAAGAAAGCAATACATCGTACAGAGGTTCTAATAAATAAATAAAATAAAATAAAGCAACACAATGAGCCTAAACAAGATAAACGGTTAAAAAAGATTTTAAATTATTTGTAGAAAAATTTATAAATAAAACTAATATTTTTACCAAACCAATACAACGTTAATCAAAACTAATATTAATTTGCTGGGAGAATGATATGCAATTATTGCAACCATCGCGCGCACAATGCTACTGCATGCTGCTGTGTGTGTGTGTGTGAGCGCGCGCGCGCACGTGCATGTGTAATGTGTTAAATACATAACTTTTACAAGCATTGTTTTTTGGTTCACCTTCGCGTATCGGACAGTCGTATATAAAAATACAAAAAAAAGATGATTTCACGGAGTTCATTGCAAAGTATATATCTTTTACATATGCGTGAGCACGTTAAAAGTTAAAAACTCTGACGTATTTCTCACTCCGAACTCAGAATCTGTCAAATTAGTTTAGCGGAAACAACTTCGCGCGTAATGCATTTTACGTGCTTCCGGGAACTATTCCAACTTCCCCGGTGTATAAATCGTTACTCAAAAAATTAAGTCGACGTAAATCAAATGTCGCCGTGACTTTACTCCTACCGCGAAGTTTCCCCGTCGTGTATTCGTAATCGACGACACAGACGTATTTTTTTCATCATTCTTCTACCGCTATCGCATCCTCATGAGAAGAAATCATGCAAAAATAGTTGGATCATTGGAAAAAAGAGCGCTTTAAAGTGCGCCAAACAAGAGCGTGATCGACATAACTTTTATCAAACATTACACAAAAATTCTCGAAATACTAGGTAGTGGGAGAGGGGGGGTCCTTCTTTACGACGCATTATACAAAAAGTTAGTTTTTGCCAAACTTTAGCGCGAGAACGTCATATTTATCGTGAATGCCGCGTACGCAAAGCGTTTCGAAGCCGTGTTTTCTTGTACACATCCGAAAGGATTAAAAATGTCGCTAACAGCCAGTGCCAAGTATATGAAGAAGTCGAAGGCGTTTGTATGTAAATAAGTGAGTGAAGACAAAAAGGATCGATGATTTATCGGATGTAAAAAAACAACAAAAAGAGAGGATAAACATTATGGCGATTCTTATACTAAGAATCCTTTAACATTGCGTAAAGGACAAGCCAAATTAAAGAAAAAGAGTACAGATATATCGTACGAAATTATTCGAAACCGTTTGCGTGCTGATAATCTTAAATGGCGGAGTACCCTCTATTGTCTGAAAAACATGTAAAAAAGAGACTCGCTTAAACAAAAAAAATATCGATCGTGATTGGAACAATATAATTTTCACCGGAAAAGCTTTCTTTTGGATACATCTCGCTAGTTTGGGACTTTTCAAAGCATGGTGTTGGCACATTATATTTATTTACAGACAATTTAAATGCCAAAAAAATGCTCACAATTTACGAAAAGGCTTTATTATCATCTGCAAAAAATATGTTTGAGCGAAAAAATTAAAATCTGGATCTTCAAAGATAACGATCCGAAACATCGGAGTAGGCTTTGCGCAGTGAAAAGAAGAAAACGACATCGATCTATTGGATTGGCCGTTATAGTCGCCCGATGCGAATCTATTCAAAAGTGTTTAGGCAAACCTAAAGCTCAAGCTTCGTGGAATACAAAGTATGCATGCTTCGGAGATGCTAGGCAATTATCAACAGCGGTGACGACTGGACAAATTTTTAATATAAAATAGCACTATACATGTATGCATTTTGAGATTGGTATAATAAATATTTATCGTAATATACGCGTTGGTAACGCTCTTCATTGACAGACCGTACCTGTTGCGTTTTATTCGATTTTTGCGAAACAGGTCGATCAAACAGCGACATACATGACGTAGAGGGCTAGTATCGCGAGCAAAGGGTTGGTTATCTCGGCGTCGTTGTTGTTTCTGTGCGATGGATAGACAGCCGAGATAGATAGACGGAAAAAGAAGGAAAGTCGGGGAGATCAGCGTCGACATTGTTGCCGATGACGGCAGCGAAGGAGGATCTTCTTCTCGCATCCGCCCCTATGATTATTATTTGCTGAGAGTCATAAATAATAAAGGAGATTACGTAGGTCGGTAGCCGGTGGTGATGGTGTAATTGAATCAAAATAATGTAGAGGTATCGTGTTGTGCACTCCGACCAATCATAACTCAGGTGAGACCATCTCCTCGCGGCACGGTGAGAGAAGACAAGAATGAGGAGGGGAGGGAAGGAGGGAAATATGCGCACCGAGGGTGCCTCTATATAAAGGGTGTCATCGCCAACCCCGGACACCCATTCCACCACCAACCGCCACCAAACCACGCCGCAAACCACGCCGCCTGCTATTCGTCGCATTACGTTCTTTCTACTTGGACACTACTTATCTCCGCAATTTTGTCTCCCGGTCGCCCTGCGCATCAAGAAGTCGAAAAGCAGTCGACAAAATGGTGAGTGCTTTGTCGTTGTCGTTATTGTGGAGTGAGTGTGTTTTCCGAGACGTGCGGTGATTGTTACGTAAATTAAACTCTCATGATGATCTTGTGCGGATTAGCAACGATCTGTCCGATCTGTCGCTTCAATCGAGTGCTGATTAATGATGAACAAGAAGCGTTAGCGAGCGATCGAACAATCTTCGCTCATTTTATACTTGGTAATATCGATCAAAATGAAAAAAAAGATATTGTCTTACTAACCGCATATTATGTATCAAGTTGTGAATATTTAACTTAATGTTATTTTATTTTACGTGGATTATAATTATTTTGTTAATTAATAATTTACGAATGTTGATAAATGATATTTTGTATAATTTAATTTAAACGTAGAAAATATTTCATATGTTAGGAACATAAGAAGAGAGAGATTTCAAAATTTCAAAATTTTATTTTATTTCCGTTACTAAACAATAAACGATTTTTGTATAAATATATGTATGTGTCAGAAAATATATTTTCCCGAACTATTAAATCGGCTGAAAGGTTCAAGTTTTTTTTTTAAATTTTGTTTTAAATGACGTTAGAGCAATTCAATAATTCTATAAAAGAAATTGAAAAACTTTCTTCTAGAAAAAATTAGCGCAATTAAAATGATTCAAATTGATTATTCGGAATAATTGTTCCTAAAATAATTTCTAAATTTCTACTTCGGAAAAATTGTTTCTAAAATAATCTAAAGTTATTTTATATTTCGACTTTATTTGATAAAACAAGTATTATAGCGACGTAATATGAGTATGAGTACTTTTGCATTTTCGAAAATTTCATTGAAAATGAAAACGGTTGTCAACGCGCAGAAAGATTCTACAAAGGTGGTGGATTTCCCATGTCACCGAGTTTATCATCAGTCTTCATGGTAAATCCTTTGTTGTCTCTCTACGTGATTTCTTGCGTTTGCGTAATATTAGTCTTAATATAGCAAGATATACTTTCCTATTATTTCAGCTAATTTCCATTTTCATTCAAACGTGTGGCTATTGCGTGAACTCATATTTTCTCGCCGTTGAAGTGACGTAGCGAATCTCGTATGTTCTTTTTCAGTTTCCATAAATTTACCGACTTAATCCTCTCGGTCGGATTTACCGTGGTGTCTTCTTGTTTTTTTCTGAACATTTTCATGACACTAACTTTAGCAGGATTTAGCAGTATTAATTTACTAATTTACAAAATAAATTTGATAACAATGTTGGCTGTTACATTCTATTTTTGTTTTAAAAACGGCAAGGTAGAAGGACATCTTCATCAAAGCCCATTCTCGAGGGATAAAATTGCGTAAGTGGCGTGATAAGGATTGATACACGAAATTTTTTTCATGATATTAACTTAATTCAATTTTCTTTCAAAATGTATTTGTTTTGTATTTCAGAGAATAATAATAATATAATAATGTTTTGGGCAACAAAAATGCAAATTTTTGGGATACATTAATATTTTAATAAAACATATAACGGCAGATTCTTTAAACAATTCGATTCTTTCTATATTAAAATGATTGAAGATTATCGCTTATTACGATTTTTCACAATTTTTAACATCTAACAATAATCAAAGTTGAAAATCATAAAATTATTAAAATTTATTTTAAATTAATGTAAATATGCATAATTTTAATATAATATTTATAGGAAAAAATCTCTAAACTTAAAATTCTCTTACGTGCATTAAATATTATTTTCAGTAAAGTTTTTAGTAAAATCTTTTAAGAAAACAGAAACATAAAGACAAGAAAACACAATAATGGAAATATTTTTATTTAGTAGAAATATTAACCTCAAGGTAATTAAAGAATCTGCGATTAATAGTTAAGACGATAACGCCACGCGTCCAATATAACGTAACGCGATGTGATCAGCGTATAAAAGAACCTGAGTATTAATAATGATACAATGCAATCTGCGTGAAGTAACAATAAAAGTCAGTTAATTAAGAGAGTCCGCCCATCTACGTTTACATTAATACTCGTTGCTCTTAAGACGTGGTAAATCTGCAGGTTTTTAACAATACACGTAACAAGTTTGTGGGCGATGACGTGATTATGAAGGGCAGTCGCGTACAGGGTTAATTAAAGTAATATAAGGCACCGCATTAATCTTGCTCAGTACGCCGTGGTATTGTTAAACAGGATATTAATATAGATAATAAGGCATCGATATAATTTATTGTGTGACGCACGCGCGCGTTGGACGACACGTCGCTCCTGTTGCACTTCGTAATTCTAGTCGATTTCGACAAATCAATTACACATTACTAGTTAAGTTACTTAGCAACTCTGTAAATTTATAATCTGCTTTATACTTGGGATTATGGATATTAATGTAGTTTCTACTTATGTTGCTTCCTCATAGAGGAACCTTTGTTTTTTATATATAATGTAATATATTTTATTTTTACTATCTTGTTTAATTATTTTTTTTGTATAGTAGAATATTGTGATATTGTGATGCACTGTGTAGACTGTTTCTGGAAGTTTTCTTAAACTTTCTCAAAAATAGAAGTTAATTTGTTACGTCAAAATTTTGCTAATTTAATTAACATATCGTTATAAGTCTATGACGTTCATATAAAATACAATCGATTTTTCTAATATAACTTACACTCGATTATAAATATTACTTGCATTTGCTTAAAGTTACTTATTTTATTATCGGTATTGTCTATACTTCCGTTTAAATAAACATGTATATGTGCGCGCCCGCGTAAAAAACTATATATTTATCAAATTAATCAAAGAATATATATTTATCCTTAAAATTTGATTTTAATCTATGTTCTTTTTTTACGAAAAATAGCGAAACCTATCTACAATTTTCAAAAAATTAAAAAAAATGTTTTTTACAAACTAAGCCTCAGAGAACCAAAAGATAACCAAATTAAATAATCTGTTAGTAAAAGTAAAAAATTACAAATTTTATTAAATATATGATTATGGAATATCAATATAATACAGGATGATTCAGAAATACTTGTATAAACTTTGGGGGTGAGTTTTCCACAAATAAACAAGAAAAGAATGTCATATACACATATCTCCGGTTTACAATAAGGAAATGCCTGGTTTATAATAAGTAATAAGTAAAGATTTCGACAAAAACTGGCAGAAGACATCTACAATGACACATGACCCATGTAATAGTAATACATCTTCAGTTCAATTGTTTGTTTACTTATAGTTCATAACAAATGCTCAAAATATCATCCACCTACTTCAATGCACGCATATGGACACGTCGGATCATATTATAGACTGTCGCACCTTGTTAAAGATCCTATGTAAGTTACAGATGATTTTGCAGGCATCTACGATGCATTGGTGAAGCGTCTCTTTATTTATAACTTTAGTTGCATAAACTAGGGCTTTTAAGTGTCTCCACAGATAAAAATCAAATAGATGTAGGTCAGGCGAACATGCAGGCCTAAAATGTAATTTTTCGATTATAACTCGTAAACTAAGCATTTCCGGACATATGTGTATATGACATTTTTTTCTTGTTTATCTGTGAAGAACTTACTCCCAAAGTTTGTACAAGCATTTCTGAATCATCCTGTATATAAAAAAAGTAATGAGCAAGTTCTTTAAAATATGTAAATTAAGAACAATTATGCACGCGATATAAACGCAATTTTATCGATACAACATTTGATTGCAGATTGCATTCTGGGCTTTCAATGCAATGGCATTTCTCTGTAATTGGATGCTCGTATCATCTTCGGTGCTAACGCCGTTGAAGGACGACGGTACCTTGAGGATTTTCAAGGAGTCACCAAATGAATTCGAATACGTGATAAAGAGACACGGCATCAACGAGCGTAAAGAGGATACTGAGTCTAAAGAGAGACGCAGCACTATGGGTTCCTCCTTCATCAGGTTTGGACGCAGTCAGTCTGCCTTCAACAGTGTCGATAATTCTGTCTTCGAGGGAGAAACCGATTCGAAGGTCAGCAGGCATCCCCGATGGAAGTCACCGGACATCGTCATCAGGTTTGGCCGGTCTAACATCAAAGCTATTAACAGCGAACAACTGCTCAAACGCGGGCGAAACGATCTCAATTTTATCAGGTAATCATCCTATCGCATTTTCTGTTAGCTAATATCAAGATGTAACTTGGCGAACACTTGTCGAATGTCAATTGTAAATGCGCGTTGTAAATGTCCGGTAAAAAATTTTTCATATAAAATAATATAAAAAATATTTATAATTATATTTAGAATATGTCCATATTGTCCATATATGTTTTCTTTCTCTTATATAATTTCTGTTCGTATATATAGAAAAAATAATTAGAAAAAAACTTTTGCATTGCTTTTCTTACAAAAAGTACACTCGTGATTAAATTATATAACATGTATATATAATAATGTATAATAATATTTGCATATTATTACTATATTTATATATGATTATACTATATATGGGCAATTTTTTTCTCATTTCCTCAAACTTTACTTTTTAAGAAAAACAATGCAAAATTTTTATTTTAATCATACTATTATATATTTTTTTTTATTATTTTTCTTGTATATATAAATAGAGATAATACAAGAAAAGGAAAACATAATATATACGGACTTATTTCATAATTTTTATATATAATTCTACATACATGTTTTTATATGGAAAATTTTTTACTAGGTGCATTCTCGTATCTTTAAACGATGCTTAGCAAACGAGAGAATAATATTAAAGCATCGTACCAAGTTGTGATGTGGCGTACTTTTTTGGGAAATTACAAAAAATATTAACAATCTTCGCCCGCGCAATTTTCGCGCTATGTATGATAAACAACGGAAACGCAAGTGTAGTGCGTAACATATGAACGAGTGAAGTATCAGGCAAACGCGACGTTGTTATTATTATTTATCGTAACATTACCGAAATGACACGCGCACAAGAAGTATGACGGGAAGTATACCGGCAACGCGTAATACTTGTACCGCGTTTCTCAGAAAAGACTCTAAAGGAGAGAAATGGACGGTGACGCAAAGGCATAACGGATTCACTAGAGACTCGTATTCGACCATTGTTGCTTTCTTCTTACGTCATGATACCGGAAAGTTCAGTACACACGTGTAACGCGATCATTTTTCCCAGTTATATTTAATGCATTATCTCGCTTTTATCTAAATTACCCCGTGATATTTTAAAGAGTAATACGTTCCTGTGACTTCAATGATATTGAGAATGAGAATACAAAAGGAGATTTGTTGTTGATTGATGGATTCTACGTGAAAAAATAAATAAAAATAAATAAAAAGAAACGTTTTTCCTACATTATAAAGTTTTGTTTTCAATAAAAATAAAGTTTAGAATCCTAAAGAATTATCATTGGTCTATCTCTGTTTTAAAGTTTTTATTTTCTCACCGGAAATATATTAATGTCAAAAAGAGCATATGTCTTTTTTCTTACATTGTAGATCGAAATAAATTATTTTGTTCATCACGCACGTTCAAGATTTATAAAATACATCAAAGATTTTCTTTTTAATTAACAAATTAATGGATTAATAAGTACCGGTAAATTTTAATTGACTATGATCCATTTTTGCTGAAAATAAATGACGGAATATACAAAAACGAAATTATATATTATATATCTAATATTATAAAAAAAAGTTTTCCAAAAAATTGTCGAACGCGAGTGGCGACATGTAAAAATTTATGTAATGTGACATATGGCATAATTAGGAAGGACTTCGGATAATTACTTATCTTTGAGGTTATATAATCAATGATTACAGGAGAAAATAACAAATGTAAACAAAACATTTTCCTGATGGTATAAAGTTTTGTCTTTAAAAGAATCAAATTGCGAAATAAGAAAAAATTAAAGCGGTGTCTTTTTTCTACTTTAAATTTTTTATTGTCTCGCTGCAGTTATGTTGAATTATGATATCAGAAATGCAAAACCATATGCATCTTTGTTCACACTGTACATAAAAAATTACATTTTGCATACCACTACGTGTATTCGATGATGTACGCTGACGAGATGTAACAAAGATTTTTCTCTTATTTCATGGATTAATAAATATCTGTTGATAAATAACTGCCATAAACGATGGGATTAACTATTTTACGAATAGATTCGAATTTGTTGGCGTAGTTTCAAATTCTTCATAATCACTTTGAAAAATAATAGCAGTACTTTCAAGTAGACTCGAATTTGGACAAAATGGGTTCAAATTTTCTGTGAGTATAATCTCGAAAAACAAGAGTATTACTTCCAAATAAACTCGAATCGAAATCATATGTGTTCGAATCTTTTATGAGTACTTTACCAGTAATTTTTCGTTTAAATAAAAACACTTGTATAAAACGACAATTATTTTAGTATATTATTTTTTGATTATTACAAATATTAGATAATTAATCGTTAAAATTAAATATAATAAAAATATGATTAAAAAAAACTTGCACATTGTTTCCTCATTATTACAGATCGCTACCATTGCTCTTATTTTATTTTACTCACAAAGCTTTTCTATGAGGAAGCTTGTATTTTATTTGATGCATAATTATTAGTATTTATTAGTTTGGCTTCCTCATAGAGAAAGCTTTATGAGTAAAATAAAATAGGAGCAATGGTAACGATCTGTAATGATGAGGAAGCAATGTGCAAGTTTCTAATTCGCATACTTTTTAAAATTTTAAATTTAACCTAGTTTTTTATGAATTAAAAAGGGTCAGCTTAGTAGCACAAGTAGAGTTTTATAATTGACGTAATGTCAAATTGATGTTGACTTCGGGAATTCAGGCTACATGGTCCCATATATGGACTTTGCATATGGACCTTTGATCGCGTATAAAGCTGGATCTAATCAACCAAAAAACTTAAAGAATTATACATAAAATAGGGGTAGAAAAGACTAAAGAATATAATAGAATTATAAATAGTCTGATATCTCAAAATTGGCGAAAGTTAAAGCAATCACGAACATTTCTCAAAAAATTCAAAATTTTATAAAGAAAGAACCTCTTTTTTTACCGATTATCGCCAAATTCAATACCAATCTTCTTTTAATAATACTCTATATAAAATTACATGTATAACTTGTACATGTAACTTTTTAAGCAAAAATCGATAACTCCTTTACCGATCCTCACCAATTTCAATACTTTCCTTAAATGATATTCTATCCTTTAAATAACTTACACATTTTTTAAACAGAAATCGGTAACCCTTTCACCGATTCTCGCAAAATTCAAAACAACCTTCCTTTAATGATACTCTGTATAAAATTACATGTATATTTTATACACTTTTTAAGCAGAAATCGGTAATCCCTTCACCGATCTTCGGCAAATTCAATAACAATCTTCCTTTAAAATGATACTCTATCCTTCAAATAATTTAGGGTAGACCAAGGCGAATCGGATCAATATAAGTTTTAAGACAGTTTTCGTTAGTGTTTTGTTTCAAACGAGCTGTTTTGTCGTGCTAATTAGTAATCCGATTCGCCTCGGTCTACACTATATATTTTTTAGGCAGAAATCCTTTCACCAATTTTCGCCAAATTCAAAACAACCTTCCTTTAATGATACTTTACATATAAGATTACATGTATAACTTGTACACTTTTTAGGCAAAAATCGGTAACTCTTTCACCGATCATTGTCAAATTCAACACCGACCTACCTTTAATGATACTCTATCCATAAAAAAAAATTAAGTTTAATATCTCAAAACTTGCGAAATTAGAGTAATCATGTAGATTTTTTTAGATAGAAATTGGTAACCATTTTATTATTAGCAATTTTTATTAATTCTATTATATTGTTCAGTTTTTTCTACCCCTATTTCATATATAATTCTTTAAGATTTAGTTAATCAGTTCTTGAGTTATAGAAATTTCGGTAAATTTGGCACACACACACATAAGGAAATTTTTTAAAATTACGATTTTCTGACGTTTTAGAACATTCTGAACACATTGGCATAAAAAACTAAACACAGAATTTTTTCTTTGGTCTTTTCTACCCCTATTTCATATATAATTCTTTAAAATTTGGTTGATTAGACCTAGCTTTATATGCGATCAAAGGTCCATATACAAAGTTTATAAAAACAAAGCTTCCTCTATGAGGAAGCAATATAGAATAAAAGTTACTTAAAATCTTTACACATCACATTCTTTGCACTAACTTCATTCTTAGAGTTCGAGTAAAAACTTTCCTTATAAAAAAAAAGATTTGGTTCTTTATAATAGAAATTACTTATTGTTAGTACATTTCAAATATATATCATTGTACTATAAGTATATTTCGAATCCTGCAAATACTCGTTTTAAAATTCGAAACTAACTAGTTAGGATCGATTAGTTCACAAGTATGTATGAAATATCATTTTTTATTAATATTACTCGAATTCTAGAAAATAAAGCTTAAATATTGGATTTGACTTGTGAGAAAGGAGTTTTTAGTACACTTATTATTTTATATTAATTTAAACGCGAGTGATGGCATGCAAAAGTACCTAATTTGATGTACCTATATAACACAATGAAAATATTTTATGATTCTGTATAATATTTTATTTCAATAAGAAGAAAATAAATGTAAACGAAATGCTTTTATAGTACAATATTTTGTTTTCGAGAAATTTGAATCTGGAAGCAGAAAGAAATTAATAGAATTTCACGGGAAAAAAGGATAGCAAAACCTTTTGTTAAAGTTTTGCTGAGCCTTTTGCTATTTAGAAATAATTGCAAAAAGATTTTGCTATTGTTGCAAAATTACAGCTCTCGCTGCAAAAAATGTTAGTTTTATCCATATTTTACGACTAAATTTGCTATAGTAGCTAATTCTTTTTTTCCGTATTCCTTTTTATTTTAAGAACCTACTTCTTCCTTCATATTCCACGATTATATTGGAGTATGAAATTTGTATAGATCGACGAATTTACCAATAGTTACGAAAATATAAACAAAAGTGTGTTATTAAGAAATCGGAATAACAAATAAATAAATTTTGCTTAAAATAGATTTGGTCGTAACGTACAAGTTGTGCCGGCCGATCTCGACCTATCTGAGGTGTGCTCGGCGCTTATTTCGAATGGCGTGGTCAACGACACGGAATTACATCCGGATGTGTCGCGACTGCTCCGTCTTTGCAACGGCTTAAATAAGATAACCGGCGAGATCAGTTTGGATGGAACCTCGGAGAGCCAGGACAGCCCGAGCCGTCATGAGTGAACCGGCCTGTTGCTGTTGTCCGAACTCGTCCGAGATCCGAGATCGTCCCCATGTGGATTCGTCCTGCGGATTCGATGCCGGATGTCAACGAGGATTCGTAGCGCTCCAGTTTGTCGAACCGATTTGATCGCCATGACCGAACTGAATTTGGCTTTGAGATGACGGCCGGATCGCGTTCACTATCAGCACGGATTTGTACTTATAAAGTGGATCTCAAACGCGTCAACTTGTTAAACAAATTGAAAATGATTATTCGCCTGTTGCAATATTATACAAAAACAATAAGATTTATTTGGAGAAAGTTAGAAACTCTGGTCCTAGTTTCTTTGCCAAGCTAAACGAGTTATAGATTGTTCGTTCAAAAATACAATATTATACTAATCTGTAACTAATTTTCTTATGTGTAAACTTAGCATTATGTCTTTTGTGAGATATAAATTAAATTGATGGAACCGATAATTTTTTATTTAATATTGATTTAATTGTTGATCTGATATATTATATGTTACATGTTACATAACAGAATGAAACAATTGGTTTTCTTCAATCTTTTAGTCATCTGTGAAAAAGCTTCTTTGAAATTATCAAGTTACAAAACAGAAATTTAATACATTATTCTAGCTTATTTATTTCTGTTATTAGTTCTATAAAAGTGTTCCTTAAAACCGAGATGTGATCAGTTGTTCATTTATAATTCCTCTTGATTTTATTGCAAATGTATTTGCAATAAAATGCAATGCCTTTATGCTGGATATATACACACCTATATTTGTAGTTAAAGGATTAAACGGATCTCTTGTGTATTTTGTCCTATATCTTCCTTATCCTGTCTCCTAGGAAAATAAGCGCTAAATATACACAGGCTTTTCGAAAAAAAATCTATCTTTATTTCTTTTAATTTTACTAAGCGCTAAATGTTTATCGGCGCACCCCCAAGCTGATAGCAAATGCTGAGCCGTGAATCTCGTATCGGATACCACGCTGTACATCCACCTGCTTCATTACTTATTCAATGTACATTCAAACCTGACGATTCATCGTTCTAAAACACCATCGATATAATCGCAGATTTATATTGTAATTGTGCGCATTCTTCTTATCGCGTTCGCAGCATGTTGAATTCGGTTGGATGTACTAATAGCACTCTGAATGTTAAGAATCATCGTATTTATTACACAAACGTGTATGATGTAAAAATGTTGCTATTGGAATGTCTAAGCGAACGTACGCTGAAAAGAATTAATTGCCTATTTTTAGATTCTTTTAATGCATGACAAAATGTTACTGAACAATGCGTTAATATTAGCCAATACTTTTATATCCAGATATATTTTTATTTAAATATATATATATATATATATATATATATATATATATATATATATACACGACAATTTTTTATTCTACAATCTTTTGCCATCTTTCTTACAACTTGGAGATTCCATTCTTCCAAGGAGGAACTTATCGCTGAGAATTATTAAAAATTGTTTTTTATGTTACTTGAAGAACCGAGAAAGAGAGAGAGAAAATTTTTACTACTGAAAGAATTTTGCAAAAATTGAAGTAATATAATCAATTAAGTATTTCTTTTTTTTAGTTTGTTATTATATTATACAGTTTTATTTTTAATATCGTCTCAAAATAGTTGTATATAAAAAGTTTTTATTTTAAAATTGGTTTCTAACTAGTCAATTTTGTCAAACATTATGGTAACTTGTCATGAATATTATTAACAAACCATTTATATCGCTATGTTTTTATGTCAATTTATGCGCGATTGTTTTTTTACGTTTATTCCGTACGTTCAACCAAATTTATTGTAAGCCTCGCATGTTGCTAAACAATATGACCGATCGTTGGATCCAGTCCAAGTTTACGATAAGTATAAAAATCTGTCGTCAAAGTGCATACGTCATATTGTCCTTAGTAGTCTACGTCGTTCTTATAATGTATGTAAATTTAATTTAATACGTAACTCATATAATTAAAAGGAAACAAAGTGGCTGGATATGAGCTTATCTCTGTACGATACACCTATCCCATATCGTTTGTTGATTGCTGCTTTCTTTTGAATTAAAAAGGTCTTTTCTTTCTTCCTCTTTTTTTCTTCTTCTTTCTCTTTGGTGATCTCACAATCAGACTTGTATATTTATCATATATCCGTCCCCAATCGCTAATATCATCTAAACATATTCTCTCTTAATGATTATTTAACCTCTGTAGAATTTCCTTAATTCTTTTTGAACTCTTAGAAAGATTATTCACAAATAGCTTTATCTCAAAATTACAAACAATACTCGATTTCTGAGTAATTAACGTACGGTTATTGCTATTAATATTATTTTAGAGAATTTGAAACTTTATCGATTATTTTCTTCTAATGATGGAACTATACCAGTTTTTATGTTAATATTGCCACAAATTACTTGTTACATCCTAACGGTTCTCATCTTTGTCATTTTTCTCTGTTGCAATATCGGAATAATGCCTCAAGAGTTTCTTTTATTTTTTTTTATCTTCTTACACTTTAAATATATTTTCTATGCAAATAATCTATCAATTTATGTTTTTACCGAAATCTTGACTTAATTGTACGACACTGAGGATGGTCCTATAAAAGTCCGAAACGTTTGTGAATTTTTATTTTAATATAGAATATATGAACACCAACACCTTGTTACGGCTCGATTCTTCGATGCTCCTTTTGTCTTTGATTGACTATCAATTTATCTTCATTCTTATTACTCTCAACTTCATGCATATTGCATAAAATATTAATGATGATGTGATAACAGTACCTGGGCAAAACAAAGGAATAGAATAACTTCGTTAGTCGTTAAAATTTCTGATTACTCACTGTAGCCACATTGGATTATAATGTTAAAAATGAAAAATCATATTAAGATTTTCTTGTATTATATATAAATAAATTATATAAAAATAAATGTCTTCGCATATTATCCTACTCGATAGTATGGTTGGTAATACATACATGCCAAAGAAATAAAAATGTAAGCGCTCTTATTTTAATTACTTTTCACTAATAAATAAATCTATTATTCATGTGTTTTACATTTAAAAATAAATGCTTTATAAAGATTTACAGTTATACAAGGTGATTCAGGACCTCTGCGACAAACTCTGAAGATACCTATATCTCGCAGAGAAAACCATTTTCTGTGAAGCAATCCATGTTCTCTGACACATCGTTTAGGAGCTACGCGACCGCGCAGACAGGTCTTAGATGACATTACAGTTATGAGATAAATTATTTATTTATTGTTTCAAATACACTTGCAGACAGTTTTCATAAGGTGTTCAAAGTGTCTACCCTGAATCTGATTGCATTCTGACCCCAAATGTTCGATAGAATCCGACAATCAATGTTACGACGGTGTCATTTCAGGGTAAACACTTTGAACGCCTTCTGTAAACTGTCTGCAAGTGTATTTAAAACAATAAATAAATAATTTATCTCATAATTGTAATGTTACCTAAGACTTGTCTGCGCGGTCGCGTAGCTCTTACGACGCTGACGTGTCAAAAAACATGGATTGCTTCACAAAAACTGGTCCTCTCTGCGAGATCTATCGTTTCTCAGAATCAAGAGACTCCATGATACATTTTATAAAATTACTCTTGATGAAAACGGATAGCAACGTGTAAGAAAAATTAATTTATTTTAATGTGCATAATTCAAGAGAAGAAAGGAAGAAATTCGCGCATAATTTTTTGTCAATAATATTGCATTTTTCACTTTAAAAAAATTTTCAATTACATTTTTTAAACAAGATTGAATACAAAATTCACAACATGCAAGATGACTTGCCAAGTTTAAAATACATATTTACACACACACACACACATATATACACACACGTACAAGCAAGGAAGAGAGAGGGTGGCTCTCTCTCTCTCTCTCTCTCTCTCTCTCTCTCTCTCTCTCTCTCTCTCTCTCTCTCCCCCCCCCCCC